CCAATGAACACCCAGGACTGATCTCCTTTAGGATGGACTGGCTGGATCTCCTTGCAGTCCAAGGGACTGGCATGCTGCAATTCATGGGGTCGCAAAGAGTCAGACATGACTGAGCAACTGAACTAATTGAACTGACTGACTGAACCTCCAATCGCACAGAATGACAGAGAGCTTACAGTGAGTCTAACCTGGTGAATTTCCTTTTTTTGGTTTAAGCATTTAAGCTGTACTTTTCCCTCTAATCAGTGTTTTAGCTGTATCCAACACATTTTGAGATATTGTATTTCACTATTATTTAATCGAAAATGTTTTCTAAATGAAAATTAAATGAAGTGAAAAAAGTAAATGAAAAATGAAATGAAAAAAGTAAACCTTCTTCAGAGAGCTACAAGAGAACCCAGAGTTTACAGAAACATTCACAGTATCCAGGATATAACAAGAAAATACTTGGCATAAAAAGATCCAGGAAAATGTGATCCAATGTCAAGGGCAAAGATAATTAACTGATGCCAGTCCAGAGATGACCCAGAGGTTGAAATTATTAAACAAGGACTTCATAGCAACTACTATAACTATACTCAATGAAGTAAAGGAAAATATGTTAAAGAGGGATAAAAAGACAAAATCTTAGCAGAGAAATAAAGAAATAGAAATTTTTTATCTGAAAAAATATAACACTGTCAATAAAAATTTGACTGGTGGAGTGGGGATGTTAGAGAAAGAGTCAGTAAACTACAAATTAACAGAAATTATCCAATATTTAAAAGAGAGAGAAAAAAGTTTTGAGAAAAAGAAGTCCTCAGAGTCTTGTGAGAAAATATCAAAAACTCTAACATATGGATTATTGGTAGCCCAAAAGCAGGGAGGAGAATGGGGTGGAACAAATATTTGAAGAAATGATGTCTGTGAACATCCCAAATTTGGAGAAATACATAAATTTATAGATTCAAAAAGTTTATAACAAAGAGGCTTTCATTATTCAAAGCTAGATAAAGAAAATTACATGTAAGCTGCTGGAAACCAAACACAAACATAAAATACTGAAGGAAACAGAAAAACAACACATTAATTAAAGGGAAATAATTCAAATGACCATGAACTTCCCACCAAACACCCCTGAGACTGCAGGAAAGTGAAAGAAGATTCATAGCATGCTAAAAGACAAAAAAAGTGCCAACCCAGAATTAGATATCTAGCAAGTATATTCTTTAAAAAAATGAAGACACAACTAAAATACAGGAAAACAGATAATAACTCACCAGTGGACTAAAACTGTAACAAATGTTGAAGAAAGTTTTACACTGAAGGAAAATTGTATCAGTGGAAAATCAAATTCTACAGGAATGAATGCATGAAGATCAGAAATGGCAAATATCTGTGTACATTTAACAAGCCATCTTTGTATACATTTACAACATTGTCTTGTGGAGTATCTGTATACACAGATGTAATGCATATAACAACACTAAAGAGACTGGAATGGGGGTGGGTAAGGAAACTGTGGAGCTTCCCTCATAGTTCAAACCATAAAGAATCTGCCTGCAGTGCAAGAGACCCAGCTTCAATCCCTGGGTTGGGAAGATCCCTTGGAGAAGGGAATGGCTTCCCACCCAGCATTCTTGCCTGGAGAATTCCATGGACAGAGGAGCCTGGTGGGCTTCAGTCCATGGGGTCACCAAGAATGAGACACCACTGAGCAGCTAATCAGGGAACTATGGCTGTTAATATTTCTGCACTTTATGTGAACTAGTTCAATATTAACTCTAGACCATGAAATATTAAGGGTATATATTTTAATTCCTTGTTGTTGTTGAGTCACTAAGCATGTCCACCTCTTTGCAACCCCATGAACTGCTGCACGCTAGGCTTCCCTATCCTTCACTATCTCCCAGAGTTTGCTCAAATTCATGTCAACTGAGTCGGTGATACCATCCAACCATCTCATCCTCTGTTGCTCCCTTCTCCTCTTGCCCTCAATCTTTCCAAGCATCAGGTGGCCAAAGTATTGTAACTCCTAGAGAAACACTTCTTTTTGGCCACACTGTATGACTTGCAGGATCTTAGTTCCCTGACCAGGGACTGAACCCAGGCCACCCCAGTGAAAAGGTCAAGTCCTAACCACTGCACCACCAGAGAATTCCTGCAAGACATACTTTTTTTAAAGTAATACAAAAATGTGTAATAAAAAGTTAATAGATAATAAAATAATACAAAAAATTATTGAATCTTAGGAAATATTTTAGACTAAGTAATAGTGAAAATACAGTATATCAATGTGTGGGACACAGCTAAAGCACTGTTTAGAAGGAAAAGTACAGTTTAAATGCTTAAATCAAAAAGAAAAATAGGTTTAAAATCAATAACCTAAGTTTCTACTTTAAGAATCTAGAAAAAGAGGAGTAAAGTATACACAAAGTAAACAATAGAAGCCAGAAAAATAATTGAGAAAATTAAGAAAACCAAGAGCTGGTTCTTAAAAAACAAAATCAATAAAATTTTTTAATTTTGAAAAGAATAATATTTTGCAATATATTTGAAATATATATTTGAAATATTTGAAATATATATGAAATATTTTGAAAAGAATAATATACCCTAATCACATAGTTTACCCCACAGTTGAAAAATTGATTTAACATTAAAAATCAATATAATTCACAACATTAACAAAGTAAAAGAGAAAAAAACATATGATCATTTAAATAGATAATGGAAAATCACATGACAAAATTCAACACTTTTTCTGATAAAAATAATAACTCTAGGAAAGCTATGAAGCATAGTGAATATTCTCAATCTGATTAAGAGAAATTTTAAAAAAACTTGCAGCTAATATTTTATTTTTGCTTTCCCCCTAAAACTGAAAGCTAGGCAAAAATGCCTCAACTCTTACTATATCTATTCAACGTTGTATTGGAGGTACTTGTGATTGCAACATGGCAGGGAAAAGGAATAAAAACTGAAAAGGAGGGACATCCCTGGTGGTCCAGTGCTTAAGAATCTGTCTTGCAATGCACGGGATGCAGGTATGATCCCTGGTTGGGGAACTAAGATCCCTCAGTGCCAGTGGAGCAACTAACCTGGTGTACTACAACTACTGAGCCCACATCTCTGGAGCATGTGTGCCACAACTAGAGAATCCATGCAAAAGATCCCAAATGAGGCAGGAAAGATTCTGCATGCCACAAGTAAGACTCAGCACAGCCAAAATCAATCAACAAATTTAAAAAAAACTGAAAAGGAAAAAGTAAAACTGTCCCTATTTGCAGATGATGTGATTTCAATGTTAAAAATCTCAAGGAATCCACAAAACAATTACTAGTACTAATGAATGAATTATCTAGGTTGGACAATACAAGGTTAATATACAAAGTCAATAGCATTTTTATATCCTAACATCAAACAATTGGGAAAAAACACATAAAGTACTTAGGAGTTAATCTAACAAAATATGTCCAAAATCTCTACACTGAAAATTACCAAACACTGCCAAGGGAAATTAATTAACATAAATTTAGGGACCATGTTCATAAACTGCAAGACAATGTTGTTAAAATGGCAATTCTCCCCAAATAGATCTATAGATTTCATGCCTTCCCAATCAAAATTACAGCAGACTTTTTTTTCTAGAAATTACAAACTTATTCTAAATTGTATTCACAAATTCAAATGTTTTAAAATAGCTAAATTGATTTTTTAAAATCAATTCAGTTATGTCTGACTCTGTGCAACCCTATAGGCTGTAGCCTGCCAGACTCTGTCCATGGAATTCTCCAGGCAAGAATACTGGAGCGGGTTGCTGTTCCAGCCTCCAGGGGATCTTTCCTACCCAGAGATCAAACCTTCGACTCTTAACATCTCCTGCATTGGCAGGTAGGTTTTTTACCACCAGCGTCAACTGGGAAGCTCAATCACGACCAAGGCCATGGCAAGTCATTATGCTGAGTAAAGGAACCCAGAAACGATGGGTGCTTTCATTTATATAAACTAGTAGAAAATGCAACTGCTTCTAAGATACTACACAGCAGATCAGTAGTTAAAGGCGGTAGGGGAGGGTGAGTGCAGGGCTAGACAGCAAAGGCAGCAGAGATATGAAAAAGGTTCTGTTATCTTGATTGTAGTAATTGCTTGAAAAGTGTTTGCAGCTATCAAAACTCATCAAACTGTACACCTGAACATTATAAAAACCATACATTCTGTACATCTTACTGAATACAAATTATACCTATATGAAGCTGTAAATAGGGGAAAGATGTTAAATTTACATGTGAGTGCTTAAAATAAAAAGAATTATTAAATTTCTTCGGATCCTTGCAGTGGTAGTCCACAGTAGATTGATTGTGGATCTGTGGCCTTCGGTACCGAAAAATTCTCAAAGTAATCCTAGAGTGTCCCACTGCCTAGCAAAGAATTTTAGGGTCAAACTCCGTAACAGCTCCCTATTCCGAAATCAGACACACTGACCTAAGTGGGGAAGGTCTCCAAACGATGTGTGTAAGGTTCGTCCCAAACAACCTGCCCCTGTCAAGGGATAGCAGAAAAGGTCAAGGAATGGGAAATTAAATTCCTCTATTGTGACCTTTCAGCCTGCCCCTAACCCCTCGGATTCTTCCCCCGCAGCACCCACCCACCCCCGCTTTTTGCCTTCCCAGCTCGTCCTATTTCCCCCACAGTTGGGCCTCATCTATTATTCCCTCCCACTAGATTTTAACTCCTCCCCGGTCCTCCTCCACTCGTGCCCCCAGCCCCAATCCCTTCTCCAGCCTCAACTCTTTTCCGCCCTGATTTTCCTGGAGATTAGAGGGGCGGAACAGAGGTGACAACTGCTCCCCCGAAATAACTCAGCCATTCCTTCTCACAGCCTCCCAGACCAAGCTCCCCGCGCCCCAGTCCGCGTCCTCCTCTCACCCGCCTCCCGGGAGGCCTCTGCTCCTACTCAGGTGACGGAGAAGCTGGCCGACCGGCCCCGCGGCCCAGTCTCCAACCGGCCTTTCCGGGGCTCAGCGGCCGGTGGACTCGCACCGGGGGCCGTCAGAACGCGCGTCGTCGCCTAGCAACAAGCCACGCGCTACTCCCCCGGGTACCCGGCCCCGCCCCGCCCCCGCCCCCTGGCCCTGGCCCTGGCCCTGAAGGCTTGGATTCATCCGCACTGCGGGCGCCCACTCGCGGATTCTGCCTCGGAGAACCAGCTTTAGGACCGCTTTGAAGGGTGAGCGCAAACGCACCTCCCCGGAGGTTCCAAAGAACTTCCTATGATCGCCAGTTTTGCTCAATTTAACCCACCTGCTATCTTGGCACTCTGGTTATTTCTACATTTTAATGAATAATACTGGATTACAAAACTTGAAGCTTTCTTTTCTTTTTTTCAAGGGTTTTTAAGCTGTATGTCTAGACTACACAGGGGCTTCCCTGGTGGCTCAATGGTAAAGAATCCACCTGTCAATGCAGGAGACCAGAGACAAAGATTCGACCCCTGGGTCGGGAAGATCCCCTGGGAAAGGGCATGACTACCCACTCCAGTGTTCTTGCCTAGTGAATCCCATGGACAGAGAAGCCTGGTGAGCTACAGTGCATGGGGTTGCAGAGTCGGATACGACTGAGTGACTTCACTTTTATTCATAAATGCAATGCTATACTTGAAAGAAATAAAGAAAGATCTGTGGGGAACATATACATAAATCACGAACTAATGGTATTTTGAACTATGAAGCTATACCCAAAAGAATACACACCATACCATTCCATTCATATAAAGTTTAAAACCCAAGCCAGAAAATAGTGCTTACCCATGCAGGCACAGCAGATATACTACAAATGAATACAATAAAGTAACAACCATAAGCGTCAAGATAGTAATCATCCCAGGAGAGAAGAAGGTGATGGTGAGTGGATGGACAGTGAAGAATCATGAGGTGCTAACACTGTTCTAGTTTTTAATGCTGGTGATGGCTGTTTAAGTTTTTTTTCTTTAGAAAAGCCATTCTCTGTTTTGCTCATTTTCCTGTGTTATATGCCATCATTGTTTAAAAAAGCAAAAAGAAAAACCACTAAATGAAACCATGGAGATGATAGAGCTTTGCTCAGTCTGGCACTTAGCAGGCCCTTAAAAATGTTTATTTTATATTCCTCTACTCTCTACCATGACAAACCTAAATAGCATTTTAAAAAGTAAAGACATCTCTTTGCTGACAAAGGTCCATATAGTCCAAGCTATGGTTTCTCCAGTAGTCATGTATGGATGTGAGAGTTGGGCCATAAAGAAGGCTGAGCACCGAAGAATTGATGCTTTCGAACTGTGGTGCTGGAGAAGACTCTTGAGAGTCCCTTGGACTACAGTGAGATCAAATCAGTCAATCCTCAAGGAAATCAACCCTGAATATTCATTGAAAGGACTGATGCTGAAGCTGAAACTCTAATACTTGGCCACCTGATGCTAAGAGCCAACTCATTGGAAAAGACCCTGATGATGGGAAAGACTGAGGGCAGGAGGAGAAGGGAGCAACAGAGGATGAGATGGTTGGTAGGCATCACCGACTTGATGGACATGAGTTTGAGCACACTCCAGGAGATAGTGAAGGACAGGGAAACCTGGTGTGCTGTAGTCCATGGGGTTGAAAGGAATCGGACTCGACTTAGCAACTGAACAGCAGCAATAACTCTCTACCAACCTGTCTTTCTCCAAATACCCAAGCAACTAATAAGTGAGATTGAGAAAGTGGCAGATAAAACCTTCTGGAAGTCCTCCATGAGGCTCCAGATGCTGGAAGCAGGAAGCATGCTTTCCAGCAGTTCAAGATAAAAGAATGCTGGTGCTGTATAATTCCCTGGTGCTGGGTCTCAGAGCAGCCTGGCTGTGGAGGTGGATGCACTCAGGCATCTCAGCAAGGCCTCTCTGAGGGACGCTCCTGCTCTGGAGGTGTACAAAGCCAGGTAGGGATGCCTAGCTTTGCCCCTTGGTCAAGTTGCTTCCCTCTCAGGGTTTCTGCAACCTCATCTGTAAAATGGAGACAATACTCTCACCCTGAAGGTTTGGTGCTTTACCCTCTAACATAGTGAGCTCAAAAATGGTTGCTGAATGCCCACAAAATGAGAAGCATTCTACAGAGAAGGCCCTGCCACCCTCCTCACATCTCACTGTCCTGTGGGTGCTTCATGAGGGCAGCTTCATGCTAAGCATGGGAGTAACCCTTTCAGACAGTAAGAAAATTACTTTTCTGTGCCAATTAAAACAATAAGCAAATAACCAAGAGCTTAGAAGATGACTAATTGTTCTTGGTACCATCCCTGAGGCTGCACACAAAAAACATTCAGGCCATGTTTCTAAGCTGGAAAAATTCAAAAATTAATGTAACCTTGAAATATGCCTATCATATGATCAGGAAACAATTTAAATGGTAAATAAATACTGTTCATTAACACTTTTGATAATCAAAAATAGTATGAAAAAAAATAGTATGTAAGTAGACCATTGAGGTATGACCTAAATCAAATCCCTTATGATTATACAGTAGAAGTGAGAAGTAGATTTAAGGGACTAGGTCTGATAGACAGAGAGCCTGATGAACTATGGACGGAGGTTTGTGACATTGTACAGGAGACAGGGATGAAGACCATCCCCAAGGAAAAGAAATGCAAAAAAGCAAAATGGCTGTCTGAGGAGGCCTTAGAAATAGCTGTGAAAAGAAGAGAAGCGAAAAGCAAAGGAGAAAAGGAAAGATATTCCCATTTGAATGCAGAGTTCCAAAGAATAGCAAGGAGAGATAAGAAAGCCTTCCTCAGCGATCAATGCAAAGAAATAGAAGAAAACAATAGAATGGGAAAGACTAGAGATCTCTTCAAGAAAATTAGAGATACCAAGGGAACATTTCATGCAAAGATGGGCTCGATAAAGGACAGAAAAGGTATGACCTGACAGAAGTAGAAGATATTAAGAAGAGGTGGCAAGAATACACAGAAGAACTGTACAAAAAAGATCTTCACGACCCATATAATCATGATGGTATGATCTTTAAGCTAGAGCCAGACATCCTGGAATGTGAAGTCAAGTGGGCCTTAGAAAGCATCACTATGAACAAAGCTAATGGAGGTGATGGAATTCCAGTTGAGCTATTTCAAATCCTGAAAGATGATGCTGTGAAAGTGCTGCGCTCAATATGTCAGCAAATTTGGGAAACTCAGCAGTGGCCACAGGACTGGAAAAGGTCAGCTTTCATTACAATCCCAAAGAAAGGCAATCCCAAAGAATGCTCAAACTACTGCACAATTGCACTTATCTCACATGCTAGTAAAGTAATGCTCAAAATTCTCCAAGCCAGGCTTCAGCAATATGTGAACTGTGAACTTCCAGATGTTCAAGCTGGTTTTAGAAAAGGCAGAGGAACCAGAAATCAAATTGCCAACATCCGCTGGGTCATCAAAAAAGCAAGAGAGTTCCAGAAAAACATATATTTCTGCTTTATTGACTATGCCAAAGCCTTTGACTGTGTGGATCACAACAAACTGTGGAAAATTCTGAAAGAGATGGGAATACCAGACCACCTGACGTGCCTCTTGAGAAACCTGTATGCAGGTCAGGAAGCAACAGCTAGAACTGGACATGGAACAACAGACTGTGTCCAAATAGGAAAAGGAGTATATCAAGGCTGTATATTGTCACCCTGCTTATTTAACTTATATGCAGAGTACATCATGAGAAGTGCTGGGCTGGAAGAAGCACAAGCTGGAATCAAGATTGCCCAGAGAAATATCAATAACCTCAGATATGCAGATGACACCATCGTTATGGCAGAAAGTGAAGAGAAACTAAAAAGCCTCTTGATGAAAGTGAAAGAGCAGAGTGAAAAAGTTGGCTGAAAGCTCAACATTCAGAAAACTAAGATCATGGCATCTGGTCCCATCACTTCATGAAAAATAGATGGGGAAACAGTGGAAACAGTGTCAGACTTTATTTTTGGGGGCTCCAAAATCACTGTAGATGGTGATTGCAGCCATGAAATTAAAAGATGCTTACTCCTTGGAAGAAAAACTATGACCAACCTAGATAGCCTATTGAAAAGCAGAGACATTACTTTGCCAACAAAGGTCCATCTAGTCATGGCTATGGTTTTTCCAGTGGTCATGTATGGATGTGAGTGTTGGACTATAAAGAAAGCTGAGCACCGAAGAATTGATGCTTTTGAACTGTGGTGTTGGAGGAGACTCTTGAGAGTCCCTTGGACTACAAGGAGATCCAACCAGTCCATCCTAGAGGAGATCAGTCCTGGGTGTTCATTGGAAGGACTGATGCTGAAGCTGAAACTCCAATACTTTGGCCACCTGATTCGAAGAGCTGACTCATTGGAAAAGACCCTGATGCTGGGAGGGATTGGAGGCAGGAGAAGGGGACGGCAGAGGATGAGATGGCTGGATGGCATCACTGACTCGATGAACTTGAGTTTGAGTAAACTCCGGGAGTTGGTGATGGACAGAGAGGCCTGGCATGCTGCGGTTCATGGGGTTGCAAAGAGTTGGACACAACTGAGCGACTGAACTGACTGAACTGCACTGATTGAAATAATGAGATCCATGAACCAGATACTATTAGCTTCATTTTGTAGATAAGGTACTAATTTTCAAAGAGATTAAGGATTTACCTTGAGCTAGTAATCAATCCTGTACTAGAAATTCTATTCTAGGTCTGCTTTCACCAAAAAAGAAAAAAAAAAAAAGGAGGGAAGGAACAAAGAGTCAAAGGAGGAAATGAGGGGCAAGAGAGAAAGGAAGGAGGAGGAGGGATGGTAGCTATGGCTCAGAAGGTAAAGAATTTGCTTGTAATGCAGGAGACCTGGGTTCAGTCCCTGGATCAGGAAGATTTCTGGAACAAAGAAATGGCTATCCACTCCAGTATTCTTGCTTTTAGCCTGGGGAATCCCATGGACAGAGGAGCCTGGAAGGCTATAGTCCATGGGGTTGTTGGACATGACTGAGTGACTAAGCACTCATGCATGAATCTAAAAATGTTCCAAATTCTTTGTTGATACTGAAATGCCATCATATGAAAATGTTAATAATTTTAGTGCCATCTTAAAGAGAGAACTTAAAAGAGTGACATAAAATTTCTTACCCATCATTGAAACACTGATTTCGTCTAGTTTTTATCACTCTCAAACTGCCCTCTACCCATCCTCTTGTCATCTAGTTTTGGAGCCCCCTATTGGTTCACTGAGGATCCAATGTAACATTCAGTTTCTGTACCTCCCACGTTCTCTTAC